CAAAGGCATCAATATTTGACCTTCAGGCAATATTTCTTACTGGAGGCCTCCATCACTTGTAGAAGTTTCCCAGACTTCAGCAGATGGGAGTCTGATGCAAGTCCCTCATCAGCCTGAAGTGTGAGGAGTCCTCAAGTTTCAAAGGTCTCAAACAGACCCTCCATGACCTGATAGCTCAGCTGGTCCCTGTGTCACAAAGAAAATCCGTGGCAAGGGTGAGCACCTTCTACCTGTGATTTAGCTCAGGGCAGTCTGGGCAGCAGGTCCTTCAGCAAAGTCCAGGAAAACACGCACCAGTGATCTTGATGAATTCAAATGACAGTGGCTAAAAATGAGGAAAACTGTTTGGGCAACCAAGCAAAGAGCCAAGCCCTTAACCCAGGCGCTGAGTTCAAGATGTCTCATAAAAGCAGGCAGATTAGTCACTAAAGGGCTAGGAAATACCTAATGAACGGTCATCATCATCCTAGTATTTCAGTGTGTTTTCATCTAAAATTTGAATGCAGAGAAACATGTAAAAAGTAAGAAGGGGATGGTTGTATTTGTTAAACCAAAAGAGCTTTTCCCATAAAACAAAGGCCATGTTTTGCTGTTTTCCCCACATGTCCAATATCACCATTTGCATTTCCCAGTGAGATGAAGAGCTCCTGTCTTTCCTTTTTCCAGGAACCACCATGCTGAGCACGATGATCCGTCTGAGTGCGGACAAGAAAAGCCTAGATGTTGACACCAAGTTGTTGGATCTCCTTTTCTGCCCTGTTGTGACTTCTAGGAATCACCTGCACCTTCCTTGGAGCACTGACCTTGGAGAAGAGCAGGATATGGTTGGGATGGCAGCACACCTACTGAGAGCAGCACAGACAAAGCTGCTTCTCTTGGCTAGCTAGAGCCCCAAAACCTGATAGCTTCCTAAAAACCACACTCCACAAGTTCTGGCTGCATACCTTCAACCCACCACAACCTCCTCCAAGGATCCAGCAGGGAAACACTTGTCTTGATCCTTCCCCCGCTAAGTCCCCTATTCCTCATTAATAAAAGCCAAGGTAAATGACAATTAAGAGCTCAATAGGCAAGATCTGCTGGAGAGAAACAGCCTTGTCACTGCGCAGGGTCCCTAGATGTCAATCCATGGGAGAGATGGGCTGCAGCAGGGTTAGACTCTCACCCACAGCTGCAACACAACCCATTGCCCTGTCCCTGTTTAGCCCCCTGGCTAGAGTTTTCATGCAGCTAATCATAAAGTGATTCCATTTCTTCAAAACTTTTCAGGGAACACACCACCCTCCTCACCTTCCCGAATGCAGGAAATTGATGGAAGAAAACCACCAGCATCTTCCAGATGTCCTCAATAACCTCAGCCAGGCTCCTAGCAAAGTCTCCATCCATTTGGGTAGCCCTGTGCCAGCACCAGTCCCCATCTCTGCCCGGCTCCCAGGGCAGCACAAGGCAACGTGGCAGCTCAGGGTGTCACACAGCGTGAGCCACAGCCACTTCCAAAGCCACCTCCAGTGTGAATTTACACGAGTACATCTTTCTCAGACTCATCTCCGGAGCCATCCCCATTGCCTTGGGGAGAGCTGCCCTTCTTGGCACCTACCTCCCCACCCACTGCACAAAGCACAGGCTCTGGGAAGGTCACCGGCAGTGACCGGGGGGCACGGCAGCAGTCAGGAGGGCAAGGGCCAGCTTGCATGCAAACCATTTGCAATCACCTACCGGCTGGAGATTTGCCACCAGGGTGAAGGGCAGGGACAAGCCACATCTTGCTGGATTCCTGTAAACTGATGGGAGCTGTCAGGGCATGTTCCGGTGCCAGCTGCCTCCTCATCCCCCATTTCCCATCTCCACACCACACAGTGTTAACCCTGGTACGGGCTAATGGTCTCTAAACCCAGTCCCAAAAGTGGGATTTCTCACCTGGTGTTACATCTACATTATTGGTGACTAATGAGCACAAAGCAGACAGGCAGACCCAAAGTCAGCCCAGGAGAGCAGAAAACAGTGGCAAGACAGATCAAAAGCTAAACTAAGCAAGGAGCCAGGCTTAAACTCAGCTGGGGAACAAATGGGGTGGAAGAGGTGTGAGAGAAGGCCCCGGATGAGGCTGGTGTGGCTAATTAAGACCTATTAGTGCAGGCAGGACCCTGATGTCCTTTGCAGGGGGAGGATGTGGGAGTGATCCTATGGGAACTGCTTGAGAAACTCATGATAAACCAGCACTTCCCCCATCCTTGGCATAGATCCATTTTCTCAGCACCAGCAGAGCTGGTCTGTAGGGGTTTTGCCAGGGTTGTTCGGATCCTGTCCCTGCCTCAGTCTCAGGCCAGAAATCTGTTTTCAGGTGCTCTGAGAGCTCAGTTTCTGCTGGGTCCATTTGGGTTCATGGGAAGAATCAAAGCAGGCGTTTAATTTGGGAGTGAACCTGGGGCAGGAATAGCTCCCTGCCCTGAACTGCTCTGCTATCCCACAGCTAAAATGTCACTTAGCTTCCCTTGCTTTTAAAAAAATTACAAAACCCAAAACCAAACAAACTCTCCACTTCCTCTGCAAGACAATCTGCTAATCTGGATCTCTGGAACAAATTAAACTAGTCTTTCTCAAAAGCAATTTGCAAGCTCTGAGGCATTTGCACTTTTGTTTCCAGGCACACGATCTGACCCAAAACTGCTGCTGAGGCTCCTGAGCATGGGACCTGCTTACAGAGCCGTAACGTGCCGGTAAGGACACGCACAGAGCAGGGGACTTGCAGCCACCTCCACCATGCCCCAGGCACAGCCTGTCCCTTACGGGCTGCAAGGGACTGCTGACAAATGACATCCCACAGACACAAGCCCGTAGCGCTGGGCCAGGCTGCACCACTTGGGCCAGCACTTTCATCAGAGCTAGATCTGGATTCTCTGCTGTCAGTTTACTGGGTGACCTTGAAAAGTCAGCCATGATATAATACAACCTATGTGGGAGAGGATTGTAAAGCAAGCCAAGATTTCAGGATGAAAAGGTACTTAGAATTCACTTATAGAGGTATCTAAGAAGAGAAGTACTTGGCTCTTCTACTCCCAGCAGACACCGAGTGACCCAAAAAACAGTTTACCACCCTGCTCAGTTTACAGTAAACATCTCACTTCTGTGCATGCAGCTTATTTTCCACATTCATAGAATACATATCCAGCACACACTGGGGCTGAGCTGGGGCAGCAGGAGGATGCTGCTGCAAGCAGGATGCAAGCATGCACCTTTGTGCTGCAAGCAGGATGCAGAGACCTAATGTACCATGAACAAGAAACCCCCCCCATTTCCATCCCCAGCCACAGACATCGTCCCATCTCTGAACACTCCTCCAGGCCCCATCGCTGGGGGCAGCGGTTCTGCCTCCCCCCCAGCCACATTCCCAACTTCTCCGCTGGGCCCTGCTGCTGGGTCTCCTTCCTGAAGGGCTGCAGGGGAGAAGTGGGCCCAGAGTACAGAGTACTCAGTACAGAGGTACCCCCCAGATGCAAGTTCTTACTGAGAACATCATATAGATATCATCATCATCATCTGCAGGCTAAATATAAACCTCTTCTGAGGCAGTACATAAATGCCCCGGGCCCTTGTGTTTCTCAGCATGAAGGGCTGCCTGCCCTTGCAGGGAGCAGCCAGCAGCCCTGCTGGGTGCTCTCATCCCAGTAGCTGCTTGTCCCTCATCACAGCTGAGGGAAACTGAGGCATGGAAGAAGCAGTGAGAATCACTGTGTGAGTGCTCCTGGTCTGCTGACATAAACAACAACTGCTAGGGCTGCTCCATCACAGCTAGGGAAATCCAAGAAGGCTTGAATACTGGTCGGGAGTCACTAGAAGAAGCAGAAACATTCAGACCTGAATGAGAGAGAATTAGCTCATCAGGGCAGACAGTGACTGGCAGAGAGTGGCTGGAAAGAAGGACTGAAACCAGCACTGTGCTCCCCCTTGTCCTACCCAGGGTACCCGTCTGTCCCCAGGCATTGCACAGGCTGGTAGAGGGAAGCACCTTTGCACTGGTTCATCTGCTCCCAACAAAAGCACACTGTTTGCAGTAGGCACCCAGGTGTGGCTATTGCTGTGAACTTCAATCCTATTCCCGACTCTATTAGCACAAGATGATCACGTGCGTGTGAGAATCTGCTTGTGTTTCACAGATGTCCCTGGCCTCTCACATCCATTGCTCAACACCAGGAGCAGGTTGCCCAAGAACATCAAGACCATAGGGGCACAAAAACATGTACTAGCCCTCTACGTTTGCACCATCCATCCTATCTGGTTACCCTGGGGAGAGTTAAACCAAGTTTTTTTGGTGCTGCTGTTGTACAGTGTGGCACAGCCAGCTAAGCCAGCACTGGAACAAACTCGTTCCTTTACCTTTATGCAGGCAGACGACAGCAAGGAGGCCATGTGGTGCTTGGCAAAACATCTCCAGGGTCCTTTGCAGTGACTGTGCAGGTCGGGCTGCCCAGGGGCAAAGGTGTCCTGCAGCCAGGGGTGGAGGGTGGATGGAAGCCATGGGGTCTGCAGCCTCATTGAGAGTCCTTTCCAGAGAGCAGGCACTGAGGGAGATGTGAGAGGAGCCAGAAATCTTCTCCTGGACAAACTCAAGAGTTGGACAGGGCAGCTGGGAACAGAGAGGAGCTGTGCTTCTGCCTTTTTTTGCAGGTTTGCTGTTGCCGGGGAGAGGTTTTAGGCTGTCATCCAGCTAATTCACACCAGAGAGACAAGCACTTGAATTAGTTGCATTATCTGCACCCAGCTAAAGTGGACAAAGGATTAAAGTGTGCTGAGCACCACCACCGTGATTTGCATCTCAGAGCCCCTTCCCACGGGCCCCCTCCGCTCCCAGCCTCTTTTATTTTTTTGGCGGTCAGCCAGCCAGCATAAGAGCCCTGTTTACAGAATTGATGCCTAGGTTAATATTGCAAAAGACTTCATCAAAGCTTTTAGTTGCTACTGAAGCAGAAGCATCTAACCGTGGGCCATGAGCTGACCTGGCTGCACACACGGGGGATGAGCCGCCCGCGCCGCGCACGCAGCCACGCGCTCGCTACCCTTCGTTTGACCAATTTTGGTCTCAGCCTGAGGTATGAAACTAACTTTCTGAGCGTGCAGCCATGGCAAATTTGAAATAATGAGTAAGATCAAACTATTATTCATTTTTAAAGCTGCACACAAAACTCAAACGTAGGTATTGTTTTAGGGACTATTGGTTTCAGTTTTAGCACTATTTGAGTGCTAAATAAATACTGCACTGTGCAGTGACCTTATGGGGTACTTTTTTTGAGCTCATTCAGCTGCCAAAGATTTTTTTTTTATGTGTGTTTATTCATGTGGAGAGGATGGGGAATGTTATTGCTATATGTTTTGTGCTGCCAGTCTCAAAGAAATCAAAACTGGGATTTCTCAGAAGAAGCTCTAGATCTAAACAGAGATAAAGCAAATGCCTATCTGAGATTACTGGATCATAATTAATTAATGGCTTTAAAAATGTTTTTTCACCACTAGCACTTTGAAGGTAGGTGCATCTTTCTTTAAAGTTTCACACTGAGCTCTGCTGCGACATGCAAGCTTTATATGTTTCTATTTTTCTTGGCATTTGCAGAGGTTTTTTTCTCTTCTCAGCATGAGGACTAAGTGACCTTAGCAATTGCCAGCAAGGGGACTCCATATGATGAAAGCAGGTGAAAGGGAAAATAAGGGCGGGAACTAGGTAAGGCCAATTCATACCTCAGAGGAGGTGTGGTCCTGTTCTGTACCTGGCTGTGGTCATAGTCTTGTGAAATATAAAAGAGGAAGGCAGCTGTTTCTCAAGCAATCTGTTGCCAGGATCCTGTAGCGAGAAGGAAGGGAGGTGCTAGAAGAAATGCAGAGCAAGAAGTCTAGAGTGTCAGCTGCAAAAGGTGTGGGACGCACCGGTGCCTCTGAGCCTTGGGAATATCATCAGCTCTTCTCTGTAGGTCCACTTGCTGGGCTGAGGGTTGCATGGTAGCTGCACTCCCTTCCCCAGCAGCCTGGCTTAGGAGGAAAAAGAAGCCATCATGTCCCACGGAGGAGTAGCAGCACGCAAAGCTGCCAAGCCCCAGGACCAGGGATGGGCATGGATGGTCCTGCTCGCCGCGGTGCTGCTGCAGGGGCTGACGCTGGGCTTCCCCGCCTGCATCGGTGTCTTCTTCACGGACCTCCAGCGTGAGTTCCAGGCCAGCAATAGCGAGACGTCGTGGTTCCCGTCCATCATGGTGGCTGTGCTGCACGGAGGCGGTAAGTAACGGCTGCAGGGAACGGCCCCCCCCCCCACCTCCTGCGGTTTGTGCTGCTGGTGAGGGGCTGCAGCAAAGGCACTTTTAACATTTCATTAAGGCGGATGGTGGAAGGGACTGGGAGGTCTGAGCAGACCATCTGGTTGGCAGTGCGCAGCATCTCCCGACCACTCTGGTCACACAGTCCAAAGCTCAGTGTCCACAGACACCAAACTCCCTTTGCCATTCTAAGAGACAACCAAGGCCCCTGGGCAAAAGAGGCAAATCCCTTTTTCAGCCCAGCTTCTCCAGACCAGCAACAACTTAATTATTTCCCATAGCAGCTCTTTGAATAAGACGGCAGGTAGTGCTGGAGCTTGGGCGCTTTCTTAATTCATCTTCTGTTCACAAGAGCACATCTCTTTCCACGTGCCACATGACAACTGTGTTCTTCGTGGCTGAAAAGATGCCAAAAGCAAAGCTGCTCCAGGCTGCTAGCTGAGGTAGAGTGTTCAAAGCAACTCCTTGGGTGGTGGCATGGAGTTGCACACTCAAGCAGGCATCAGGGTGGACATGAGCATAGCTGGATTAATGCAGAATATGGGTCAGGCAGCACCCTTCAGGTGAAGGGGGACAGAAGGAGGGTTGAGCTTTGCAGCCAGTGGAGGGAATCACTGTTTTTTCCCCTTCAAAAATGAGGGAGCTGCATAGGACGGGGTCCCCAGATCCCCCACACAGATGGATAGAAGAGAAAACCAAATCCCCAGCAGCTTGAGTACTTCCCAATGAATGGTCTGTGTCGCTGCTGAACCCCTCCGTGTGCAACTCCCATGCTTATGTGATAAACAGAGTACCCAAACCCCACCTTGGCAAAAGAAGCAAAATATCCAGTGACACCCACGTATCTGAGCTGCCCCTGAGGTCATACCTGCCCCCTTCCAATACTGGTGAAAGGTGACACTACAGTATGAAGGTTAAAAAAAAAAAAAAAAAAAAAAAAAAGCAGAGCCCTGAGTCATGCTAATGTGAAGGCTGTGGCAGGTTCAGAATCTCCCGTGCAGGACTTGGCTGACAGCCACCTGACATGGGAGAGAGAGTTTGCACCTTCGCAGAAGCAGTTGGGTCCAGAATTGCAAGGTGCAGATGGAAAGAGAACTCAGGGGAGGCAACAAGGGGAGGAATTATCACCGAAGGTCAGCAGATATAGAGCAGTGTCCTTGGGGCCTGGAATTTGGAAACTGGTGGGCATTCCCTATGCTGCCTACCATCCCCTGTGGTCCTACTGTGATTAGTGGGAAGGAGCTAAATGGGACCTGCTGGCTCTGAGAAACAGTCTCAGAAGCAGCTTAGTCCCAACATGTCCAGGAAGGACAAGTCTGGCAATATTGGCAAGAAAAGATCAACTATCCTACCTTCTTTAATGAAGTAATTGTTCTGTAGGAGGCCAGAACCACAGTAAAAGGTAATATAAAGACAGACAATAAAAAGATCCAAAAGTTATAAATTAGACAGGGAAAGAATAGCCTCACGTTAATTATATTCACTAACAGAATTTGTCAGGACATAGGCAAAGCTGTTACAGCAGAGGAGTGCTTGTTCTTGTCTCCCAATAGCATAACACAGGAGTAACACAACCATAAACCAGGAAGAACAACAAAAAAGCAGAGATAAAAGACTCCCTCTAAGCCAAGCATGCATGGCTTCTGCTGCAACTTCTGACCTCCTCTGCGGTGGGCCAGGCTCTGATTCAGGTTCTCTGGCTACATCCACCATCTTGGCACTTAAACCTTTTCCAAAATTGCTTTCTGCCATGACACCAGTGTCTCTTAAAGCTGCTTCTCTCTTTTCTTCTCCTTTATTATTTTTAATTCAGAGTGGTCAGTGCAGCGAGAAGGTCCCATTCAGGAGAGCTAACCTCAGCTCAGCAGAACTATGGAAGGGAACAGGGAAGGGCACAGTGAAAACAATAGCTCACAACTTAGTAAGCCAAACGTATCTCATTACCCATGCTACGTTCCCAGGTAAAAGCAATTAATGATTATTTTGTTATAAGAGTCATTTGAGACACCTCAGGATCCTATGGCTGGCTCTGAAAGGAGAGTTCAGACCCTTACAGGTTCCTGCTTCCAGGTATTCATGCACACGTAACTCTCTGGACTCGCATTTGTACAAATGCAGCACGTCTGTTGGTATTATTTTTGCACAGGAAAGCACAAAAGCCCCAAGCAAGCAAGAAATAATGTTTGAAACCTAGAAAGCAAGTTAACAGGAACAAATAATGAAAAAACGTAATTATTTTTAGAGCAAATCTCATTAGAGTGCTCAATTTATGACTTCTGGCTACTCGGGTTGGTTGAACAGCAGCACCATCCTTAATGTCTTCAGCAGGAGGAAAAATAATCCAGTCACCAGTCTGCTGAACACTTTTTCAAAGGCCATTTGAAGTCTGAGGTGAAAATCTCCCAAGCAGACCAAAATACAGATAGCTGCACTCCTAATTTTAATAATGTTCCACTGTTTGCTTGACTACGTGGATTTTATTTCAAACCAGATGTTGATTTAGGTCACAAATATGCCACAGGTTATTTTCCCTACACTGATGGACTCCTAATTCTGAAGCTCACAGTCATTTTGCATTTGCTTGTATAACCTTAAGTGTTCAGAAAAGGGAAAAAAAATACTAAAACCTGGAAAACATTGAGGATCCTTAAAGGAACAGAAAAGAATCTCTACCTTCAGATTCTCTTCATGCAGAGAGAAGTATGCTTCCTCCTGATGGTCTGCAGGTCTGAACTTATCTTTTCTTACCCCAGAATGAAGGATGCTAAATAACATCAACAAACTGGTAGTTTACCACAATCTCATGGAATTCACCAAAAGTCTATGAAATGTAAAGAATTAACTGACCTTAAACACACACCTCCATGCCTATTTGTTCATTGCTTTTTCTGATTAAATAATGTCACACCATCCTAGTAAAGCCTGCCAGCAATGTAGGTACACCATAAAATGCAGATTTCTGCCCACAAAGGGCAGAGCCGGGCTCTGGCCCATCAAAACCACCCGGGTCTCACTCCCACCTCTACAGTTTTTGTGCCAGAGGGGTGGGAGTGGGATCCGGGTGTGCTCAGTCTGCTCCGAGGCTTGTGTCCTCTTGGAGGTGGACACAGTTAAACCTACCCACCCCTGCCCAGGTATGCCAGGACAGGCATGTGCAAAGAGCTGTGCTGACAATAACATCTTATTATTTTCCTGAGGAAGATGACTTGCAGGACAGCTGCAAGACTCCACAAGCTGCAGCTTGGATGCTACTGCCTGAAGCTTAGATTGATTCCCATGCAGACACAAATATACCTCTCCAGTCATTTTCAAATAATCCTCCTCAATGATGTCTATTTTTCTCCCATTCTTGATCTAGTTCAGTGTCAATCTGCCTTCTCTTGCAAGGAGTTTCACCTTGGGAGCGGGACACCAAGGCCAATTTAGGAGATTTTGTGGCAGAACATTTGAAAAACACAGTGAAATGAGAGTGGAAATAGCAAACAGAAATATTACCCTGCTTAGCATCTCTTACTTGGAGGAACAGAAATCCAAGTCCTCTCCTTTTTCAAATTATTCCCAGAATTTATATCATGTGAGAACAGAATTACACTTGAAGGTGCTTCTTCCATTCCATTTCCAAGAGTTTTAACTAAAATCCATCAGAAGGAAGCTTAGAAATCCTGCTCAATGGCCAATATCCAAGCAGATCACAGGAGCCTCCCCCTCAGCTAACAAGTTGACCATGCACTTGGGACGATCAGGGAATATATTTTCTTTTCCTGGCTCCCCTACTACATTATGCCACTGGGACAACCCTCAGAGTCTCTACACTAAATCATGTGGTAACTGCAGCAGTCCAGCAAGTACAAAATATTTTTTTCCTCCCTAACTTCTTCCCTTTTGCCTCTTTTCTTACAGGGCCTCTGTGCAGCATCCTGGTGAAGCGATTTAGCTGCCGGTTTGCGGTGATGCTGGGAGGCCTGCTCAGCGGAGTGGGCATGGTGTGCAGCTCCTTCTGCAAGTCCATCAGCCAGCTTTACTTAACAGCTGGACTCATTACTGGTACGTACCAAAGAACGGCAAGAAAACCCAGCTGCTGTGCTTGACTTGGGAGACGGGAAATGGTGAGAGGTACCGACTAAGTGCTCACATTTTCAATCCATCTGTGATATAGGATAAATCAAAAGCCCCACAGTGCAGCAGGAATCACATAGCAGCTAGACTTGCCCTTCACACCCCTTTAACACACACCTCATCCAGCCAAGCTCACTGGAAAAAGCTGCAGGTCTCCAGAGGGCAAAATGGAGAGCAAAGATGTCTGTTCTTTTTAGTAGCTTCTCAGTCTTTTTCTTTAAAGAAGGAAGGGTGTTTTTTTTCAATTTTGGAACATAATTTGTTGAGACAATGTCCTTCCCAAGTTCCCTTGGCTTGTATTTCACCACTCCCAATCTGGAGAAATGTGAAGAGATCTTTTTCTAACAAAAGAATGTGTTGGTTTTGAACAGAAGTAACAGATGGGAACTTTTCTTTTCCAAATATTTCTCCTGTGTGACTGATGTTAAACTCTTGGCTTTTTTTAACACAGAGAAATTAATTTCTTCATCCAGGTTACTTTGGGACCAATCCTATTGGATCTTGCAAGCTAAACTGTGTCTACTGCATAGAAAGTAAAATAAGTAATTCCCTGAGCTCTGATGGAAGTGTCAGGAAAGCAGAACTGTTTGTTGCATGTGGTATAAAACCCAAGTTTTTAATGAACAGTTCCATAATGGTTTTAGGAATGTCAGTGCACCCCAGATGAATGTCAGCTTAGATCAGTATATTTAGCATACCCAAGAACGTAAGTAGTTTAATTTATGCACAACATTCTTCTTCATCCCTTGTGTGAGGTTTCTGAGCTTTAATCACCAGGCAGGTGAGGAAATGCTTCAGTGGCAGATGAAGTCATCTGTGGGTACAGCCTGGACTGGGGCTCTTTTCACCCTTTAAGACAACGCAGATGGATCATGCACTGCCATTTTCTCTTTTATTCTTACCTTTAGGTCTGGGATCGTGTTTCAGCTTCCAGGCAGGAGTGACTGCGCTGGGCTACTACTTTGTACGGTGGCGAACGCTGGCCAATGCCATGGCATCCACTGGCGTCTCTCTCGGTTTCACGCTGTGGCCGCTGCTTTCTCAATACCTGCTGGATGAGATGGGCTGGAGAAACACTTTTCTTATCTTTGGAGGAATACTACTGAACTGTTGTGTTTGTGGAGCCATTATGAGACCAGTTCAGCTTGCATCAGCATCACCACTACAGTCATCCAAGCCTGAAGAGGAGCCAGGGAGAAGAGCAGAAGAGGCACAGCTGTCCAACGGAGCATCTTCACCCCACCCCGAGCTCAAGCAGCAAACCAGAAGGACTGCATGCTTCCAGATGCTGCAGAAGTACCTGGCTTTCGACATTTTCTGTCAAAACAAAGGTTACCAGATTTACACTATTGGAGTGACCTGGATGATGATGGGGTTTGCATTACCCCATGTCTACCTTGTGCCTTATGCCATCCAGAACGGGGTGGAGGAACGCCGGGCAGCCCTCCTCATCTCCGTTATTGGGTTCATTAACATCTTCATACGCCCTTTGACAGGGCTGCTCTCGGGACACAGAGTCTTCACGGGGAGACGCATCTACCTGTTCAGCCTGGCTGTGCTCCTCTGCGGGCTGAGCAATTTCATTTGTGTCATTTCAGCTGAGTTCAGCGTGCTCATCATCTACTGCGTCATCCTCAGTATAGCCATGAGTGGCATTGGTGCACTCACCTTCCAGGTGCTGATGGATGTGGTGGAGATGGACAGATTCTCAAGTGCTCTAGGGCTCTTCACCATCCTGGAAAGCATCACTCTCCTCATCGGACCGCCTCTCACAGGTGAGAGAAGCTATTAAAGCAGGCTGGGGAAAAACTGGTTGTTTAGACACTGGTGACAAGTATTTGGGAGCATAAAGAAGAGAAATAAGGGAGTTTACAGACCAATGCAGGCAGGTGAGTTATGCAAAGGGAGTAATATAAAAGGGAGAGTCACAAAGGAATGATCAGCCCCTTCTCACAGCTGAAGGAGGGTCATTTCTGCAGCTGCCCAAGTGTCACTGCAGCAACAGCAGACAGTGAAAAAGTTACCCACCTGGTAGGCAGCTTTGCTAGGTTATGGGAGGGATGAGAGCTTTTTTCCAGTGAGTGGCAAGACATGAAGAGGAATTGCTGTGGTAGGATCTGGCTGCCTATGAACTCTTTCACAGCTCTGCCAGTTTGCATTGTTTTATCCATGAAGTCTCAAGGAACTGTGAACGTTCCATTAAACAAATTAACTGCAATCAGAATTATTACCAGTCCTACATTATTCAAAAGCCTTATAGTAAAAGCTTCTGTTCACTCTTCTTTCCAAGTTATAGAGTGTATTAATTTTCTCTGGAGACAAGAAAGGAGGTAGTTATGACCCCAATCCAATAAATTATTCACAGATTCCACAGTTCACTCCAAATGCCGCTAAGTGACCTGTCCAAGACACACATGCTCCTGCAGTACAGCAGCAAATTCAAAAGACTAACAAACAAGAAATGTGAACCTAAGCATGAATCCTCAATTCAGGCTTTAGTTCTCTTCTTCAGACAATGACCTGTGTGCTATTCAGCAGGAAAATAATGTCTGTTCTAAGAATAGGATAATAACATACACCATATTTCATGGTATTCCCTAGCACACCATAGGGTGTCAGTCACTTTTCTCAAAGTGCAAGAAAGGTCTTTTCTTGGACATGTCTGATAGTGGTGGCAGATGGGCAAAACAAAGTACAGTAAAAGCAGTGCTGTTTCTATTTGTAGTCCTAAAACATGCTAAAGAAAAGTACAGTATGAAAAGAAACAGCACCGATCTTTACTGAATACAAACATATATTATTCCAGTATCCCCATTAAATAAACAGCCTATAGAAGGCATCATGTATTTAACCTGAATATCGCCTTTCCATCTCTAACATTAGTGTTAAATTACTCATTTGATATATCATGCTTCTAAATGTTTTATATTGAGAGCACTTAACGTTAGTCATAATGCCTGCTGTGCTGTGAATTTTCTTCACCCTGATTACACACTATTAGAGACAAGTTTTCCATTTAGAGACCCTAACATGTCAATTTTTGAGACATTTCTCTATTGATTTGTTCTATTTTCTGACCTAGGATGTAACAGGGTCACTCATTCCAAAAATCCAGTGAGTGGCAGTAGCACAGGGGGCCCCTGCTGCATAAGCAAAATGAATCATCAGGTTGAGAAAAAGTTACAATTTCCTTTCTTTCCTGATTTCTCTGCATATCGAGAAATACTTGCTACAGAAGCAGAAACATCACCTGAGTGGTGACTATAAAAAACTAACTCCTAGCATCTAGAGAAGAGAACTTAACACATCTGTGAATGCTTATCTTTTGTATATGGCAGTTTGCGGAATGATTTAGGTTTAACATTTATGTAAAAGTCACCCAGTTGCCTTTAGTATGCATCTTCTCTTTGACTAAGCTATGGCTTCTCTTTCAGGTCTCCTGGTAGACATAACTAGTGATTTCCACTACGTCTTCTACAATTCCAGTTTCTTCCTGATATCAGCTGCATTATTCATGGGGCTCAGCTTCTGTGCTCTGGAAAAAAAAAGCAAATTGAAAGAGGCTTCAAAAGTACCTTTGAATAATCCCTCCAGATATCAATACAATGAAATGCCAACTGAACCACAGTCTGAAAGTCAACCCCCTCCAGCAGTCATGTACATCACAAGCATATGAAAAGAACTTAAAAAACAACAACAAAAAAAGAGGAACACAAACAACGAGGTGGCTTTTACAAAGCTACACGAGGCCCAGCACTGATGGCAGATGAGAAAACCAATGTCCACTTTCCACAACTGTTGTCATCCTTCTGCCCTGCACTTCCACTCTGTGGGGCTGTGTCAGGCTCCAAGCGAGCGATCCAGATGGCAGGCTGAGCCCAGGACCCAGCGCCAGCCAAAGAGCCGAAGGACAAAGAGAACCGTGCACTGCTAAAGCAAACCATGGGATAACGGCCATGGTAACCAGTGCTGAGGGACAAAAGCTGTGTCAGTTCAATTGGTTTAAGTCAGTGCCTTTAAGAAGTCACTGGAATTTCACATGCACATTTCAGTTGGTAGCACTGAACAATACGTATTAGTGGCTATGCACAGTGGTAGTTCTTTCACAAAGAAGTGTTATTGCCTCGTCTGAACATGCAATTTTGGTGCAGGCTTAGATGAAGTTTCCTGGTAGCTTCCCATGCTGGGGGTGGAAAGACAAACACTTCTCACAGGAAGCATGTTATTATTTTCCACATCTCTAAATATTATATGGAGGCTGCTGCATGGGTTGCAGAACTCAGCCAAGTCTCTAGTAAGATCAAATATTTTCTCCTAAAAGGTACATACGTGAGTTCTTCATGCCAAGGACATTTTCAAAGCCTCCAAGATTCAACTCCAGAGCATCAAAAAGAAAAAACCCAAACCTTAAGAGTGTTTGCTTTGTATAACTAGTGATATCTCAAGTGCTCCTTAATATATCATAAAACAGGATTCATGGCTTGTGTAAATACACTTTACAGCATTTATCAAGATTCATTTTTGCAGGGAGAGTGTAGGGACGGGGTGAGGGGGGGCAGTGAAGGTGTTACTAGACCTAAGAGTAAGTGTATGCATCCTTATATAGGGCCAAATTCAAAGCCACTGTAGTTCCCCCTTGTGTAAATGAATTTAGCACTTTACTCAGACTCTCAGATTTAATTACACCAGCACACTCATTATAGAGAAGTTTGCACAAGCATAACTTAGATTTCCTATAAGCACAAGTGTAATTTACAACGAAATCTGTGGAGAAAAGTCAGCGTTACTGACATTCATATCCACACAGACTTGACTGTAAGTGCCTTTTCTTGCTACACTCCTGGCAGTTACACTTGTAAATACTAAGATGATAGCTGCACTAGCCTCTAGCCTCCCTCAGCCACAGCTCGAGTTGCAAACTGTTTACATTCTGCATCATCCCAGATCTGACAGAAACAGATAATAGCTCACAAAGCACTGCAGATGAAGGTTACTCAACACATTAGAACCATCAGAAAGATGGAAGCATAAAATGGGAGTGAAATGAAAGAAGTAACAGCTTTCAACTCAACTGCAGTGCTTATCTTGAGAACTGTTATATCAAATTCCTAGCAACAAAACCACAGTTTTCATTAGAGCTGTGGACTCCCCCAAACAAAATAAACAAACCAACCATAAAAACCCACACTGGGTGAAACCACTGGAAAACTGACTTCAAGGTCTTCAGAGACTGTAATGGCTTCACAGCTGACTTTTACAGCGGAAGAGATATCAGCCCTTCAGAAAGGTTCCTGTTCCCACAGCTCAGCATCTTCTTCAGTACTGCTCTAGGACTACTGAACCAGTAGGCTTTGCATTTCCTGATTAAGCATATACTTAAATAAAATGACTAGTAGGAGACATACATATCTAATCTCTTGTCACACGTGTTTATTAACTTGTGTAATGCTTACATGGTTCATAATTACAAAGTAAACAGGGACTGGTGTTTCTCAGATTACTGAAACAATGACTGCTGTACATTCCTGGGAGAAGGATGGGGCTTTCTCCCTCTCAAAAAAAGAACAATGAAAAGTGATCAAGTCCCAAACCTCTTCTAGCTATTGCAAATAAAACAGCTAAGCAGCTGAATAGATCGCCATTTTTCCTGTGTGTAATTCTTAAATTTTAAATTCTGTTCACCTTTCTACATTTCCTTTCTTCCAGAAATAAGGGGTCATATTGTCCCAAATCCTCCCACTGCTACAAATGTCCTGGGCAAAAACAGGCAAGATATGGTGTAAACTACAACCCATCAAAATTTATCACAGGAAAACAAAGGTTAGATGAAGGAGCAATAGAATCCATCTCCTGGGTGGAGCCAACTGCTCTACCTGCAATGCTTTAACCCTAGCTGGCTCATAAGCTAGGAAACATATAGTCTAATGCATGCTTGCAAGATACAAAGGAGGGGAAAAAAAAAAAAAAAAAGGTATTCAGCAAATGAAGCTCACACTCCCAGATCCTCCTACACCATGGCAAAGAAATCAGTTTTGACTGTTTCTTAGCTATGCACAACAGTACAAGATAATTTAGGATGGAAAGGTAGGAGAACGCATTATAGAACTGCTTTTTGATACTTGCAGACTCAACACCAGGGTCACTGGGACTTATTTGCAGTGGCAGAGAGATATTTCTGGGAAGAAAAACAATTCACAAATCCGTAACTGTAACATTTCTCAACTTGACTAAAACCTTTCCAACAGCCTTACAGAATTTAAGCTGCCAGAAAACAGGGTTGTCTCTCCTGGTTACTTTCCACAGACCCTTTAGCACTAATTCATAACCCACAGGTTGGAAACAAATCTTGGAGGGAGAACAGGTAACATTTTAGGCTGTGTTTCCACTGGCAAATAAGATACCTGAGCTCCCATAATAGAGAACACTATTCCCCTCCTCTCCTACCACTCTTTTCAACCTGAACTCCAATGTGCTTTGAGCAGGAGCTTTGTAAAGTGTAATTGAAGGGACCATGCATACTGAGCATGCTACAGTATAATAAATATTTCCCCTCAGAGCTATTGTACAAGAGCAGTAATACTCAGCCCTTAAAAATCTTGAGGCCCAGAAGAAAAATAAAGCAATAAAAGTTCCTTTCATTAGTTTAAAGGTCGTCCCATTACACAAGGCAACCACAATCCCCCTGAAGCAGTTTTTTTAACACCTACAGACAGTAAAATAACCCTGGCTTTAATTATGGACAAACACTAATACCTCAGCCACGTTATAAACCTCTGAGAACCAGCAGAGCAACAAAAACTGAACAGAAATAAATGTCCCTTGCTCCTCTAGTCCCCTCTTATCCCTTCATGCTCCCTTTATCATTTAAAGTATCATTAACTTTGCAAGGTAAGCATTTTTGCAACAAGCACCCTTTCCAAACTGCAATGAAACATTCACCAGGAAGTTCACATTGAAATAGTGCAAGACTGTGATCCTTAAAAACCTTAGATACTCTGCCAATGAAATCATTGGAAAAGTTTAATAAAAACCCAAAGAAAGGTCACAGTAAACTTACACACTGTAAAACACCTCAGAAATGCAAAATCACTTAAGAGTTTGGCATGATGTTCGCAGACCTGTCTAGTAACTGCAAGAAAAGAAACATAGCTACTAGAAATGAAAATTCACTGAATTCTAACTTTGGAATTCTATCAATGTCACTAGACTAGACCCTGGAGCAGTGAATACCCCAGCTATACTAGCCTATTTTGTGCTAACTATGCTTGGAGCATTCAGATGATTAAACAATATAGCCAATATTGTGTGAGTAAACAGCCAACTCTGCCTACTGCCAAGTCATCTGTCTGGATGATGATGACAAACTCCCCGCAGTAAATCGGCACAGACACAACAAGTGTAGCTTGTAACAAAGCAGGTCATACAATCAGTACTAACACGGTCTGCAACAAAACCGGGGGATGTTATCAGACTCTCCTCCAGGAGGCAGCTCCAACACAGCAAATAAAATGTAAAATGTTTCTCACATCTATTAACCAGCTTTGACTAAACTCAATGCAAGACAAAGGCTAGAAGAAGCATAGCTCGCAGTTCCCAGGAAGACAAGTAGAGGTTCCTCTCTTCCTGGTTGCTTCTTCCCACTCACTGAATAGTGTGACCTGGAGATGCACCACCTGAAACTCGGCCAGCACATACACGAGCCTTTTCTGAACACCACTGGCTGTGAAACCACTCCAGAAGACTAAGTTCTTGCTGCTTCTGTGCATGCAAAACTATACTGGCTGACCACAAATGTAGTACTTGCAAACAAAAGTCATTGCATTTTCCCCTCTAAATATTGTTTTTCACCCCTTATTAGTCAGTCCCAGTATCCTTAGTGACTTCCCTTTGTATTGACTAGCTCCTTTGTGTTTGTTTTCTCTTTGGCTTTCTCACATTAGTAATTCACTTTCTATGTAATGACAGATGTGGCTTTAAAGTATGTCAACACTTACCACTTACAAAGGCATACATTAAAAGAGATTTGTTAATACACTAGCGAAACATTCTAATATAGAAGTAGTCTGTAGCACCTTTGCTGAACATTTTCGCATATATACACATATACAGAGATATACAAACAAATATACATATATATATAAATATACATATATGCACACCGACTTCAGCTGATAATTATGGTAAGAGTTGAAGTTGCTAGCACAGACCTGGCTTAAACTTTTCTACCAGGTAGAAATAAATACCTTCACTTTCATGTTCTCCGTCTTCCCACACCACTGCAACGTTAAAAGATTTCACATTACTGCAGTTTAGCTTCTTTGCTCATCCTTCTATTTAATATGATCATGGGCAGATATTTTACTACACCCAGCTGCGTGGTAGGAGAGATTATCAGCCCAACATGCTTGTCGCTGAAGCCATGTATTCGGCCAATCAATCAACGTTCAATTTGCTTTATATGAAAAATCAATTGCATTTGAGATAATACAAAAGACAGCATCTGCTCACAGCCTGTTTCCTACCTTATCTACAGAACCTCCATGCACTTGTTTCAATAAAAGCAACACAAATTTCTGCAGACTCCACCGCACCAGTTTATGATGTTTATGTACCTTTACCTTATGTTTACATGACATGAACGACAATTGAATCCACTTGAGGCACTTATAATCACAGCGGTTTCATTGGAACAGGGCTAGTTCAGAATCATGTAATTGCTCTGCTTTGTCCTTATACCAGAGTATTGTACAACCAGGGCAGCATTACCTGTTGCTGTTTTCCTCCTTGGCTTCACTTAATTTTTCTACCTGGAAGGTTCAAGGCCAAGTTGGACGGGGCTTTGAGCAACCTGGTCTGGTGGAAGGTGTCCCTGCCCGTGGCAGGGGTTTGGTACTAGACGATCTTTAAGCAGCCTTCCAACCCAAATGATTCTGCGATTCTATGATTAAAACTGGAACTAAAGCTTTATTCCTTCCAGCATCTCTCCCTACTGCCCCAGCTGTCTCTGCACCCTTCTGCAACCATCAGTTTTACTATCTGCACATCTTGTATTTTACCATGGTGAACTACCACCAAACCTGGAGAGATGCCGAGGCCCAGCGAGCAGCTGGGTCCAGAGCTGGTTCATCCGGGTGCTGAGCCCCGGGGCTGGGAAGCCAGTCAGCAGGGAGCACCACTCCAGTTAACTGGAGAACCTGGAAGGACAGCAGCATTGAAATCGAGCTGGAAAAAAATATATACAAGTGAAAATTTTTTAAGTAACAAGTGAGTGAGGAAAGATTAGCTCCTTTCCAGAGCAAAGTGTTTACATATCAAAGTCTTGCCGTACACTGCAATACAAACACCTCGACACATATTTATTTGCAGCGATCTGGAACAAGGCCGCGCGGTCCACGGGGAAGGAAACACCCCTCACCCGCCGCCCCGCGCTCGGCAGCCGACCGCCCTTCAGGCTGAAACCGCCTCACGAACAACCGAGCCCGGGGGCCCCGCAGCCGCCGGCCGCCGAGGGGGGAGAGGAGGCGGAGGAGCCACCGCCATCACCGCCCCCTGAAGAGACCAACGGCCCTCCGCCACGCCCACAAGATGGCGGCCGCCGCGCCACGCCTGCAAGATGGAGGCGGCCGGTCCCCTCAGCGTGTCGCTGTGGCTGCCGGCCCGTCTCCACCCGGCGGGAAGCGGCCGCGGAACAGCCTCGCCGTGAGCCAGCTCCGGCCTGCCGCCGGCTTCCCGGGGGAGGGGAGAGCCGAGCGCCGGGCGCTTGGTCACTGAGCTTGGGGCATCGCAGCGCTGCTGGGCCCGGGATGGAGCTGGGGCGGCTGGAGTACCTGCAGGCCCTCGTCACCGAATTCCAGGTGACGGACAGCCCAGGTAACCCCCCCCCCACCCCGCACCGCTGTTTGCTAACGCCCTTCGTGTTGAGTGTGTTTCCTCACACACCTGACGCTTCTCCGTTGCAGAGGCCAAGGAGCAGGTACTGGCGAACCTGGCCAACTTTGCCTACGATCCCAAAAACTACGAGTACCTCCGGCAACTTCAGGTCCTGGATCTGTTCCTTGACATGCTCACCGAAGACAGTGAGGCCCTGGTGGAGTTTGCGATTGGTAAGGACTGCACCTGAACACCCTCGTCAGGGGCTGGCGCTTTGGTTTGGTGGCAAATCCCCCTGCCCTGAGGGGCAGAGAGTTGTGCTGGTAAAGCCTCCTTTACTGGAGAACGAGTGGAATGGGGAGAGAGGTAGGAGGATGGTATCCCCTTCATCCTAATAGAGCTGCTGTGCTTAAAAAAGATGCTTTCTGGAAAGGATTTTTTTTTTTTTTTTAACCCAGGCTGCAAGTAAACACTAGCTGAATAACTTTTTAATAAAATCTCTCTTAGAGAGAAGCAGTCATTAATACATAAATTTTGCCATGTGTCACGTACAAGTCCAACTTTATTATTCTATTGAAGACCAGTCTTCTGGAATACTTGAAATCTTTGAGTAAGACCTCTGAAGACCTTTTGGTGCTTCGTCATGGTCTGAACATAAGCTAAGAGGCCAGATTTTGAATGATTCCATGAGATGATACTAAATGTTCGATTTTTAAGGTTTGTGGTAGAGCTACACCAGGATATGACTGCATCTTAAAGTTTCAAGTTCAGATATTCTGTGCCTCTTGGCTAGTACTGGTAGCTCTGTTCTCTGTTTTTCTAAAACACCTCCAATAAACCGCTGGCTTATAGCCTCTGTTAGAGTTAAGTGATAACTGGAATTCTTCATTCTGTGGAATTGGTTATGTCCAGCAGTAACAGTGCCCTCTAATGACATACAGGAGGAAAAATGTTCTGGTGAAAAATCTCTGGAAAGAATTAAGAAAACATTGCCCGGGAAGCTATTAAGAATTTTCCAACCAAATCTCACAGAAAATCTGGATGCTTATTTCTGTATTAGAAAAAAGGGATCAGCAGTGAATTTGAATCTTGGTATGAAAAAAATGATGGTGTGAAGAGTTTGTCTTGTGTGTGTCAGACATTTCCTTTTCCTGTTTCAGGTGGTCTTTGTAACCTGTGCCTGGATAAAACTAACAAAGACTACATATTGGAGGCAAATGGGGTAGAGCCCATAATCAACTGCCTCTCCAGCCCCAATGAGGAGACAGTCATGTCGGCGGTCACGACGCTGATGTACCTGACAACGCCGCAGTCGCGCCAGCAGACCACGGCTCTGCCAGTGGTGGAGTGCATGCTTCGCTTCTCCCTCTCAGCCAGCAGAAGGCTAAGCAATCTGGCAACCGTCTTCCTGGAGGATTACTGCACACCGCTGCAAGTGGAAGAGGCCAGGAGTCTAAGCAAACACACAGCAGTGGGGATTCCTCTCCCCAAGGACTGAAGCTGTCAGAACAGTGCTGAGCTGTTGAGAAGACCTCCCTCTGTTTTCCCAGGCCTTTGCTTTCTGCTCAGCGGGTCAAGAGTGTGTCAAGGACAACATTAAAGAGATAAATTTGTCATACCAGCACTGGATTTTAGCTAATAAAGGGGGTGGTACAGCGCTACCGTATCAGTCAGACCAAGCACACAGATAAAACTGCAGGCAAATATTTACAATAAAACAGGTCATGGCTGTTGGAGAGCAGGTTGCCAGGTGCAGCCCAGCACCCAGTTTGCACAAATATCCCTTCCCAGCAATTGGGGGGTTTTCTCCTTGGGTTATTGGGCAGCTTATATCCCCTCCAGTTCCTGGTTGGTTTTGCTGCCACTCTCCTCTTCAGTGTCAACTCAAATGACTTTAAAATGTCAAATACACTTTATTCCTCCTGCAGAAGGAGGATGTTTCCCTGCCCTGGCAGTTTGCAATCTTACCGTATCCCATTGGTACTAAATATGCCATCATGGCATAGGCACCCAGCTAGTAAATCACTATACAGGGCAGACTGTAGCTATCCTATACACCAGAAAGGGGAAAGCTGTTCTTTCATTACCACTGATAAGAGAGGGGAAGATTAAAAAAAGGGCTCATGGCAATCTGGGTACTGAGAACAGCAGTCTTGTAAAACCTTCTCTTAATAAAACATAAACACTGTGTAAACAGGTTTTGTATAAGCTCATAAATACTTCTCAACAGAACTTGCAGCCCAGCCTTCGCCCACTCTTACTCATTCACATGGGCCAGAAATTGAAGCTAGCCTGGTCTCCTTTTATCATCAGCCAACGATGCAAAAGTCAAGCCAAAAGCCAGAGTGGCTAAATACGTAAAATTTGGGTTTGGCTGTTGAGTGCAGTGCTCCCTGACAGATACCCACGCTATGTCTGCTCAAGTTTCAGAGCTTTACTTATACCTCTTTTTTTTTTTTTTTCCACTCTGCCCCGAATCATCCTGAAACAAATGGGAGTGAGGTTAAAAGAACACGCACACAAGAAAAAAAACAAAACAAAACAACAACCAACCCACAAATGCTTGTATTTCATAGTTTCTCTTCACCAAGAGCAAACATCCAAAACTCTACAGAGATTAACAAACTGAACGCAGAGCAATCTTCCAGAAACCTGGAGAGGGAGTCAGCTCTGCAGCATGCCTCACAAGGGCAGCTCATTTTTTACTGTCACTGACCCCCCCGTAGCGCCCCTGCCCGGGTGACGGTGCTCGCTGCCTCCTGGGAACGGGTCTCCCCACCAGCGGGATGAGCTGGTTGTTCCCCCCGGCACTGGGAGGAGCAGAGCACCTGTTTGCATTACTGCCTGCGTTTGCTTTCCAAGACGGCCTTCCAGTCATCTGCCCAGGAGAGCAGCCGCCTGCGCGGTGCCTGCAGCTGGACGTGCCTGTTGTGGCAGCAGGTAAACAGGACGTGCTCCCAGCTGGGGTTCAGCTCTGCACCTGAGGAGGGCAGGAGGGGGGAAAAGCTGGAGTCAGCTGGGGAGGGGTTTCCTCCCCAGCTAACAGCAAGCGATGCAAACTCTTTTCAAACCTCTAATGGTATCCTTGTCATCAAACAGCAAGTCAGCAGATACGATGGTTTTATCTCGGGTCAGAATAATCCGCTCCACAAACTCGGGTCCCAAATGTTTTTCTACCCACTTATACTGCAGAGGCAAGAGGCAAGATAGGAGAAAATGCTGCCATACTTTCAGTTTGCACATTGCTCACGTCAGATCAGCCCTAGTACAGCAATCCTCTCCCCTGTAAGCCCGCATCTGTGTCTGCAAACCTCCACCACAGAGACTGGCTCTGGCCCAGGACACTGATTTAACCTGTACTTTTAACAGCCTTCAGTCAGCGCTGCGTTTGCCGCGCCTAATCGTTGTCGAGTTTGCAAGCAGCACTGGCTGCTCGCCCAGAGCACGTGGATTGTGCCCATCTAAGTCATTCCAGTGATTAAGGTGCCCCACTCCGTTCTTGTGCCAGTGGCCAGCAGGACTACTTCCAACACTATACCCTGCTCTTAACTCAGCATTGGCCTCTTTTGGGATAGCTGGGTATCTCGGGCTCTGAATCTAGAAAAAATAAGGTTTTGTCAGTTGAGGACTCTCCAGTGTGGAATCCCCTGGGAATAACCCATCCCTACGGGCCATGCTACATCAGCTCCTTCGCTGTCACCCGCTGTCACAGCTGGAGCAGCAGTGTCACATGCTGGCTCCAAGAGCACAGGGCTCACGTGCCCCGCAGTAAGGCTGGCATCGTGTGGCACCCTGAGATTCCCCGTCCTGCACTGTGGCTCTGTGCCTGGGCAGCTGCCTTCTGACAGAGGAATCGCAGGGAAGCCTGGCAGCCCATGCTGGCTACTGTCTTTATAAATGACTGACTCCGACTTGGGTGGTATGAAATAGCAAGGCCTTGCAAAAGCAGCGTTAAAACCAGTAAAATAAATTCTCTCCCACCTTTTCCACGATGCAGTGCTCGTATTTCCGGAGAGGACTTGTGCAAATAAAGACTTCGGTGCTGGAAAGAAACAGCCTTCATTAGCAGACAGGGGAAAGTGTGTAAGAGAATAGAAAAGGGCTGCAAAGTGTCCTTACTCCTGCATGTGGATCATCTCCTGCATGGCTTCAAGGGCTCCTGGAATTGGATCCAACCCTAGAAAGAAGCCAGGTGATTCATAGACGCTGGCTACCTTAGCCTGCAAAAGACAAGAGGACATTAGCAATGCCTGTGCTTTTATCCGAGCTCTGTGCACAGCAGTTGTCCGGTGACCTCGTGTCTAACAGCCGTCATAGGACCACCACTTTAGAGTGAGATGATGCTTCACACCAAGAGTGGATTACAAAGTTTCTCACCTTCAGGGTTCCAGGAAAAATCCAGCTCAGGCATACAAGAATGAGGAGTTACTCTCTGGTGGCTTGTTTGGAGTGAGGAGGCAGAGCTGATCCTGATCTGGCTTTATTTCTACAAGCTGCTCCATGAGTAGCATCACAAACTGATCTACAGCTCGACTTGCTGAGGTCTGGTAGAGGGAGAGCTCACACCTCCCCCCTTCCCAGCAAGACTCCCTCTACTAACTCTTATAAAAACCAAAGGAACAAGAATCTTGAGGTATCTGCTCTTCTGTCACATCTGAGTGATATTTGCTTATGGCTCAGGAATTTACCAGGGATGAGTGGGCAGACACATGTATTATCTAGTAGCCCTCTTTTCCTTCAGAACAAAAAGGGCAATGTGGTGATCACACTAATTACCATCCTCAGCTAGAGGGACCAGGTCAGCATACCCACACATTTGGTGTTAATCCTTTTAGACCAGAAATATCTCAGCAAGAGGGAAGAGGATGCTAGGAAAGCTATATTTCTTTGCTCTTTTCTATGATTTTCAATCACATGCTAAAATAACAGTTGTTAAAGGAGCAGATCTTGACTTCAGCATGGACAGTTGCTCCTCTGTGGTTACGTGTCTGTGCAAAGTCTACTCAAAAGAGCGTGAGACTGCAGCAGGAAATTCAAAGGCGGATCCCTTTGCTGCCACAAGAACCTTTGGCTTTGTGAACTGACCTGCGCACCCCTGCGAGCCCCAGTGGGCTGGGTTCAGGGGTGATACGTGTGGGTCCCACTTACTGCTCCCTCATCTGACGCAGAGCACACCGCCTCAGCAGTGGACTGAGCACAGCGATTAAGGGGATCACAGCTCTATCCCTTTTCCCTCTGCACCTGCTCTCAGTGGTAAATCCACCTTTGATACACGCATGTGGGATGCCACATGAATCAGAGAAGATATTAATGATAAACAAGTGGGAAAGGAGGTTCTCTCTAACGTTAGAATGATTTTTAAGTAAGTGTACGTAGGAAAGAAACAAGATTACTGGAGGAGCAACGTTTTCCCAGGCTAAAGTAGCCAAAAAATGGTGCAAAAAGGTAAAAGGAATTTAGTATGTTACAGTACAGTGGCATCTTTAATCTCTATAAGGAAAAGTAGCATTTCCAGGGAAATTCCTGTGCCTCTAGGTAGGACTGTCTTTCCAGTCTTTTTTTTTTTTTTAATTTACTGATAAGACATTCTTGCACCTTTTATTATTAGGAAGTTCACTGGTTTGCATCCACCTCTGGTTAGTTAATTTTAAAAATTCCTACCTGGTGACTGTTCAGTGGCCTGTGTTAAATCAGAGTGTTTCAGTGCAGGTCACAGCTGACAGCTCCCCTTATCACACAACCCATCCATCATGACAAAGCACCCGCAGCAGCTGCCATCCCAGCAGCGTTAAGGGTTGAGTCCTCTTCCGGGCCTAAGTTTCATTCTCAGAGAGGTTAAGCTTCCAGGATCTCTTCTACCCTAAGACACATGAATCTTACCTTCCCTGGGGTCATACAGTGAGCCTCAGAGGTGCTGAGCTAGCATTTTTCTGCAAGCATCGAAGTCACACATTCCCATGCCACCGAACAATTTGGAAACTTAGTTCTCAGTAAGTATTCTTTGAAGGCAGGCTGGCAGCCTTTGCTTAGAAATTGTGCAAGATTGCTTTATAGTCCAGCTGATGGTCTCCTTGCTCTCTGTATCTCCGTCAACACGAAAAACATTTCAATTAAGCAGCAATGAGAGGGAGTCAGCATTAGTCTTCCAGATCATGGTGCTTACTCAGCTATCATAATTTACAAATACACATAAATCAACAGCCAGGAACTTGGAAGCACTGCCTGATTTCACATGCAAATCAGAAGAGGTTAAGGAGTCTAGATGAAGATGTGGCAATCAGATCTGCCCAGATCTCTCTTTCCATGCAAAGTCTCACTGATCTCAGCAACAATTCCCTGGAGCTCTTCCCAAGGAGATTCAATTACAGAATCAGGGCTTGTGTCTGAAAGCACTTTTATCCTACAGCAAGACACAAGAAACTGGCAAGTTTCCACCGTATCACAAAAAAGCTTGACTTTGCTGGATAAAGAAGTTTGATTTGATGACTCTTAGAACCAAAAGCCATTTCTTTCCCACAAAAAAAGCAACTAGAAAAAGAAAATAGACCAATTTTCTTTCCTCATTCTCATGCCACCATTGCTGAATGTTTCCTTTTAACTCCCATTAGCAAGAAAACAACTTGGATACAAAACTGGAAGAATTACATCTGCCCCTAAGCTTTCCCATTTGCAATACTTAACCATAATTATAGAAATTTTTGCCACTGCTGGAGATGGTTAATTGTTTTCTGGAACTGTCTGGGGCCAGGTAACATATCCTAAACATGCTTGGGAGATAAATCCCCATCAACGAAATTGCTACACACAGAGGAGACCAGATAGGCAACTACAGTAAAGAAAGTCTTGAGCAAAATACTTTGTAAGTTAAGTGGATTTACAGTGTGAAATTAATGATCAACTTATGATCAAAAAGGAAAGAAAAAGTAATGGTTCAAGTTTCAAGTGGCAGCTGCTGAGCACTAACAAAGCACCGACACTTAGTAAGCGGGCAATGCAGAAATCATTATCACAGTACTTCCCACGCCCCCATCACGATAGGATCTTAACACACTGGCCGTTCATGGATAGACAGAGCAGACACCTGACACAAAGAGCTCGGTGTCAGGCTGATCCCCCCCTTTCAACAGCTGACAAACTGCAGATCGGGTTTCTCTCCGCAGACCCCGTGCGCCGCTGGCACAGGACGGACAAGCCGCTCTCGGCGTCGGGGCCGCCGGTTCCTGCTGCAGCTTTTCCTGCAGCTGGGGGTGAGGAGGGACCTTCCCCTGCATCCCAGATGTCCTGCGATGCTGTGGAAGAATGAGGTCTCAATTTTTAACCAGCTGTGGTATTTACATAAAACCTGTAGGAACCTCAAAATCTTTAAAACTTTGATCTGCCAAATGTACCTAAAACAGCCCAGAAATCTAGGTTACTGAAGAGGAAGACAAGACACACAACTACATAAACCTAATTTCTGTAGGAAGCCAGGCTACTAACAAACAGTAAGGTAAGAGCTTTCTGGTACTGCTGATCTGCATAGGATTCAAACCAGTTATCTGGTTATTTCATTGACACACCTAAGGTCTGGGAAGGAACAGGATGAGCACAAACCAAATTAAGGAATGGAAATACCAGAAATAGAACAGAACACAACTTTCAGGACAGATCAGGTTGTAGACCTTCCACATAAGAACAAATAAAAAGACAAGACCCCTTAAATTACCTGCAATTTTTTTTTGTCGCAGCATACCAAAATGGGATTCACTTAAGGAGTACTCAAACAATAAATCATGTTTGTTTATAAAAAAATTTAAACAAATCATGCCTCCTCTCTATATATACAAGTTGCTACTCCCAGGAAGCTTTGGTCATCAATAGCCATCGACTGATTAGAGCTGGGTCAGTTTGGAGCCTGTGGAAGCTCTGCCTGGACTCGGTGCTCCTGTCCATCACACTGGTGCAGGAGCCTGCACCTCACTAGGAACAGGTGGGAAACAAATGTGAGCTGTCATTTCTTAGCAGTGAAAGAACCTACAAGCTCAGTACAGGATCTTAAAATTAGAACTTCTCAGGGAAAGTGTACGGCACCGCCTGGACCAGCATCCATTCCGTTTTCTTAGAGTCGCTGACTGTTCTGTGGTAACCAGAAGGAAGTGTTAATCCACAGTCATTTTTTAATTTTGCCTTGCAAATGTCTGATATTCAGTCATTAGAAAACATCAAAAATCGCATCAATTTGCACAGATGTGGGGTGCACTGCAAGTTTTTTACGTACTCTTTCAGATTGCTTACCTACCGTGCACTCTGCTTGTCAGAGCATGCAGAGGGAATGATATAGATACCAGGGGTTATTAGCTGTAGAAACACCATATACAATAGCTACATTTCTTGTCCTGCTATGGAGCTATATGGACACTTGCAGAGCACTCAGAACACTTTAGGTAAGTTATTACCACTGCCGCATAGCAAGAAGAGTGGTTCACAAGCAGGTAAAGAACAAGCTGAAGATGGTTCAGCAAATAGTTTCATCCAGTTATTTTTACAACAGAATCACTCATTCCCAATTCCCGCACCTCTTTGTAAAGGGCTGGCAATTCTCCTGGAAGAAATCATTAATTATTACTACACAAATTAAGGCTGCTAGCGTGAAACAACCCTTTGTAGCACCTTCTTAATAAGAAATCAACCCTCCCCTCTGCTCTGCATATTCGGGTGGGTAGCAAGGGGTTTCCCTTCCCTGCAGGGTACAAGGCAGGTGGGGGGGGGGAAGCGTACTAAACACGGTGCAACCCCCCCCCCCCCCCCCCCCCCCCCCCCCCGGCTCCTTCCCCAGCCCTCCCCGCCGCCGCGCTCACCCCCAGGTCCTCCCGCAGGCACCGGTACTGCTCCCGCACCGAGAAGCCCCTCCGCGCCGCCAGCTCCACCCGCGGCTCCCCGGGGAACCGGCCGCGGAAGTCCCGCAGCACCGCGCCCTCGAAATCGGCCAGGACGCCGTCCATGTCCACCAGCACCCGCAGCGGCCCGGCCGCGCCGCCCATCCCCGCCGCCGCCCGCGGGCTCACCGAGACACGCGAGAGCGGGGCGGGACCCCCCTCCCCCCGCCCCCCCTTCCTCCCACGGCATGAATATGGATGAGCGTGGGCGGGGAGGGGAGCCCCTCGGGAACACGGGTGGGCTCGGCGGTGGAAGGGGGCTGGCTCGCTGAGGGTGAGGCGGGGGGGGGGGGACACACACGAGCGAGAGGCTCTTCGCGCCCCTCGGCCCCGGAGCGCGGCTGCGACCGCCCCACTCCCACGCAGCCAGAGAGAAGGCGGGTGGAAAAGCGGCTTCGCTCGGCCAAAGTCTCAGCATGCCTAAAGCAGCATTAACAAGTTCCACGGGTTGTGGGGCTTGAAAAGGAAATAAGTCGATTGTTTTCCTCCTCCTAGGCCAGAAAATAGGTAGCCACACCAGTTTTAACATCAGTTGTAAGGAACACCACCCCCAGACGGAGGAGAGGAGGAGCATGGCAGACCAAATCCAGTTTTACAGATTCAGCACCTAAGGCTAGGGCTTCTCCAAACCTAGTGTGGAATGCCAGGGTATTTTTAGGCACTGGTTCTTCCAGGAGGAGGGTGAAAAAGGCACACTCTCTCCAGCAGACACACCAGTTCTGTGCAAATCCACTGCTGTGGCTTATCGTGCAGCAGATCCCCTCCAGCACAGCAGAGAACTTCATGGCTTGGTCTCCCTTCCACCCCTCCCTTGTTAAGGTCTCATTTTTAATTTTTTTTGGCAAGGAGAAGAAACTTTAATTTCCTCTATTTTCTTGAGAGAAAAAAGTACTTTGGATAAAGCAGATTATATATATCAAGCCATATTCCATTCTTTTCTGATCTCAAAGATAAAAACAAAGAGGTAAGTCAGACACTTTCTTCAGAGGAAGATGGCTCATGATGGTGTCCTCAAGCCAAAATAGAAGAACTCACCTCCTCTGCTGCATTCCACCTCTATTAGAGTAGGACAGGTAGGCTGAGAGAAGGACAACTGAGAACAAAGCAAAACCAAAGCCATGAAATAAAACCCACACAGGAAACACTGCTTCAAAATTTCTATATTATTTACTTTTAAGCAACAGTCCAGCTTTGTGAAATTACAACACACACTTTAAAGGATGAGATTTTCACCTCATGGTCAAGCACCAGCATGATCATGCACAGCATTGAGTCAGTTGTAAAAAAAATGCCCTGTAATTTTTATTTATTTATACGATCCACTCCACCTTTACTGAATAAAGTCTGAATAAATCCCCTCCTAACATTAGGCCCGGTGGCTCTAGTCATCAGCCCTATTTGGCACATACCCTGCTTCATAGTAGTCCAGTATCAAGATTTTAAAATTTTTTTTTAAAGGCAGCATGGTGTACACTAACCACTTTATGATTTATATGGCACAGCAGGGCTCAAGGCATTTACCACATGCAGTCAATGAAGCCTTTTAGATCCCCAAATCCCACATGTGGAGGAAGGGACTGCTCTTGCTGATTGTTTGCTGGCCTGTTTAACCAGGATTCTAGACCCTTGTAAAGCTAAGGGGTTCTAAAAAAAAAATCTCAGTACAAAAACCCTCTAAGCACACTTAGAACCAATCTACTCTCCTTTGAATTACATTACTATACTTCATAAAGCTTTCCCTCAAGTCTATCACTAGAAAACACTCATGTCACTTCCAGTAGATCTGGGGGAAACACAGGACAGAAGTGGAAAAAAACAATCTTGATCTCAAAAAAAGATGGAGTACATAAAGTGCTTCTTTTTTAATGAAAGAAATTCGAGATGTACAGTCAGGCTCAAGTTGTGCAGTTCACAAGCATGGGGGAAAGAAACAGACACGAGTTCAAAACAGTCAGGAAGGGAAAGGTTTAACCGAGGACTAGGCTGGACTTGCCACCGGGTGGATTTCTCCTGGACGGTGCAGGTGCTGGTGCTACTGGGCTAGGAACAGGTGCAGCAGGCAGGGATTTTTCTTCACTCTGACCTGGGGCAGCTTCTACATCAGCCTCAGTGTGTTCTAGAAGAAAAGAAGCTTTTAAAGCGTTTGATGTGGATGATGAAAGCCAGATGTTTCACTGGCTTAGACAGAAGACCAGCTCCTCTAAGTTTTCTCCAGGCTTACAGACACACTCAGTGCTGCTGTAACCTGCTGGCAGGATGGACTTCAGCCTTCTAAAGTGTTTTTCAGATGAACTCCGATGCCTCACAGTTCAGTTTCAGGCATTCAAGAGCCACAATCACTCAGCTGCTATTAGGGAACCCCAGCAATATTTTATTGTTTTGGTTTTTTGGTGTTTTTTTTTGTTTTTTTGTTTTTTTGGTTTTTTTTTTTAATGACAAGCAGCTGAAGTCTGGTACTTATTAGTCAGCATATGACTATGACAACTGTAACTCAAGTCTGAGCAGGTGCTGGAAACCAAGTCACAGAAGCACCAGTACATGTAAGCAAGAGCTCAGATTGAAACTACATTCCCAATTTCATGACTAGAGGGAAGAGGATTTGACAGACACTTCTGAGGCTTCACAGAGAACAGACTAGGGAATAGCCATGCATGGGTAGGAGCCGATCATACATTCCCCGGGAAGCACATGATAGTTTAATCTATTTTAAATACTTCTGAACAACCACAAGTGAAGACAGGACACAGAAGGCATTCTTCACAGGAAGCACTTTAGATACTGTAGCAAACAACTAATATATCTGCTTCACTGACAATTAATGAACGAGCACAGCAAGTACATTAGCATCTTGCATTTTTAGACTGACCCAATCAGTTATGAGACAAAGGCCCAAATCAGCACCAAGTAGCCCCCGACACTTGGGGGGTGAGGGGAGTGGAGCTTCACTGCCAGCTCTGTGAAGATGTACTTCACTTGTTTTTAACAGAGCCCTTAGTTTCATCTAAGGATCACTAGTTCCTCTCCAGCCTTCTCTTCAAACTGAAGAGGCACAGCCATTTTAGTCTCTCCTCATAAGGCAGCTACCCCTTACCTCTCCTATTACCTTCCTCTGCCCTTTGTTTACCTCCACTACAACCCTACGGCCTTTACATTTCAAGCACTGTATACACAATTCAAGATCTGGGTATATCATTGTTTACAGAGGCAAAATGATGTCTTGTTTCCCATTCTCTCCCTGATGAAACTCAATATTTTGCTGTTGACTAAAAAAATTTCAGAGAACTTGTCAGTCCCAGATGCATTACTTTATACTTACTTATACAAAGATTATCCTGCCACCTTTTTACCTGCCTAACCTTATCTAGTCAGGTCCTTCTGACAGCAAGATTTTTCTCACCATCAGCACAATTTGACTACTTGAAAGAGTTAATACCACCAACAAAATTGGAATCTTCACTGTTCATTACCTTTTCTAGGTCATGGATGAAGGCACTGAATAAAACTAGCCCCAGCATCACTTCCCATGTCTCATTTTTCCAACCTGAAAAGCAATCACCAAGCCCTACCCTTTGCCTCCTATTCTTTAGCTACCTTCCTATTCACAGGAGTAGCTTTCCTCCAATCCTGTGGCAACTCAGTTTATTTTTTTTTAAATAATCTTTGATGAAGAATTTTATCAGAAACACTGAAAAAAAACTCGTGTCCACTGAACTGCCTGTACCCATGCTCATAATACTCTCAAAAAACTCCCAACAACTTAGTATAGTCTCCATGCAGTCAGAAATAATCTACAATATAGATTCTCTACTGTATTCATTAACCCATGGGCACGTCTAAACAAAACAGTTAATACAAAGTTTTAAGCTTGAAGCTTCTGTAGCTCATGCATACCACTGCCTGCTTACTCAGCAAGCCGAGAACAGCCGTGGCCATGCCACTGTTCATGCAGCCCTGAATGCTCCATTGTCTGTGCTGTCAGCAGTCCAGTACTGTGCAGTACTCATGATGATGATCTGTCCACCAAATGCCAGACTCCACCTTCCTGTGTATCATGTAAAGTCAGTCATTGGTGACAGTCAATTGAGTACTGTCTAGTTTTCCTTATCTAGTCACATCCATTAAGTACACAGTGCTAACTGAACCACAAAACATCCATTACTATCACAGAGACTTCGGGGGAAGTTTCTGTAGCATTTGGAGGCTCCAGTAGCCACCTGATATACACATTAGTACTTCCCATATAATCAAGGTATAGGTAAGTTTGCCAACCTAATAACTGAAGTGTTAAATGCAACAAGATCAGATCAAATGTTAAAGTTCTTTCCTTATCAGAAGGGGTATAATCTCTGAAACAGCTTTCTACTGAGTATACTGCAAACCATTGGAAACTTTGATCCACAGAAAGGAACTACAGCTTCCGAACAGGCAGCAAGAACACTGCTGCAAAAGGAACAAGTTTTCTTCCCCTAGACAGGAGTGATTAATAAAGATGCATACCCTGACAGCTCCTTGGGGTTTTATAATCAGTTACATACAGAACATAATTTCCACATTCAAAAGAATAAACATTTTTAAACGATGGAAACCTATTAAGAATCTAGTTATGCTGTGAACTTGTAAGCAGACAGTTTTTACTTGGAGATGTATTCATTCAGCCCCTTGCAAAGCCCAGAAACAGATCTACAACAGAGTACAAAATCACACATGCGCCAGGTGGGATGTTCACCAGCTCATGTCTGCCATCTCCCACAGCAGGAATAACAAGTGGTAGAGTGACACAGCTAGCTCAGAAAGACTCTGTGCTCCATGAAGCTATGATACCCAAAGCTATCAATGGTAGAAATTAATTTAACAATCCATCAAAATTCTCAGGTATCTGCCACAGACACCTTTTCCAGAAAGCATTAACTTTATCCTCCTTCCTAAGTACCATAAGTGGAAGTTTAACATTCAAACCTTTATCTGTAATTTTTATTTCATCTTGACCATCTTCAAAAATTTAATTTTTAGTCATGGCCACAACAGTAAACAACCCCAGTTACTTTCTAGTAACACTTTTTTTTTTTTTTAAACCACTTCCCAGCATACGTTTACTTGGTACTTGAAAGAACTTCCTTCACTGTCACCTACCAGAAACAAACCAAAGTCAACAAATACGACACCTGTATAAATGAGAACTATGGGAACTTTATCTAAGAGTCAAGAATATCACTTTGTACTCAATATTTCAGTCAGCTGTTGCTAACCCAGGCAGCCCTATTTCTGCTTCCTCCCATCCCATCTCTTCTTGCCTCACCACTGCTTGTAGGCTCTCATCTGACCCCATGGTGAGCTGGTTTAAACAAATACCAGGAAAAGCAGCAGAGCCCTCAGATCAGTTTATTTCTATTATC